AGCATAGATATAACCATTTGGATAGTTGGTACCACCTAATAATTATAATATATAAAAAAATGTTGTAAATAAAAGAATGAATATTTTTAATATTAACTTTATTATTTTAACTTACATAAATTAATTGCTGGTGCTGCTCCACCATTCCAATCTGTAAGAATAATATGAGTAATATCTAAAAATGCTCCTTGTCCTGTGGTATTCTGTTTATTTTTCATATAATGTTAATCAAGAATAAATTGAAGCTCTTAAACAATATAATTATAATAATTACTTCAACCAAAAGAAATTTATCATGATAATTTTCTGGATTAGATGATGGTGAACTACCAAGAACAGTTACATTCACTACTGAAGTATTACTTGGAATAGCTGATCTAAGAAGAATGTCATTGCCTAAATTTGTTATAAAACGAAGGTATTATGATTAAATCCGAATGTCAATATTCTTAATTTTATTAAAATGATATTCAAAGGATTAGAGATATACAATGCAGGTTTTATTCTGTTCGAAATTATAATCTCGACCAGAATTTAATTCAAAATATTAAAAAAAAAACTATTATTTTAATTATTACATGCCTCTGAAATCTACATAGGCTACTGCTGAAAAGGAGTAGTTGGTGAGATCTTCTTTTTGGTTAAAATAAATATTACGAAATACATCTAAATCACAACCTCATAAGCAATAAATTCGTAATATACCAAAATAAGTAGCAAAACATGTATATAGTACTTACTCTCTATCTATTGACCACTAGCAGTATCACATATATAGTTGTCAAGTCCACCAGTATATAACACAAATTTAAAAACAATTCCATCTGGAAGGATGAAACTGCTCAGGATATTGACACCTTTTGGATACTCTTAATTTACAGAACCATAGAATTTATAGTTAGTGTATAGTAATGGATGTCAGATGGTATCAAAGATCATCAATAAATAGGATTTACCAGGATTTCTGATTCGGGTGATATATGATTGTGATATCTCATATGGTTACACTAAACTGATGATCATAACCGATAACAATGTCTTCGTCAAACACTTTTTTTGCCACTTATGCTCTAAAACATATTCAACAAGAAGGTCTTTGTTATCTCACGAAGTGAATAAGCACCAACATAACCAGGTCATACTCATAGTTCTGGGTTTAAATTCCCTTCAAGTTGGTGCTTGTGCCAATTCCAGTCTGTTTTTCTTGCAATGTGAAGTCCCTCATCTTCATACTTACCGAACAGCCCAGGACTTCAAACAGTTTACTATACACTGCCCTGAGAACCTTTTATTTTATATATTTCATCAAGAACCAGGCTTCGAATACCAGCCGGCCAAGCGAAAATACAAGTGTGTATATAAAGGAAGAGATGGG